GTTTGTCATAACATGTCAAAGTCAAAAAAAGCTTTGGATAATAAGGGCCAAGTTCCCAAATATAAAACAAAGTTGTCCGGAAGTTAACCTAAACATTTAGATGTAATTTACGTCCAATTATAGCACAAAATACAAAAAACACATCAAACAGCTCAAAAACCAAACAGATTTCTGAGATCACTGATAAAAACATACGTACAGCATCATCGCCCAGAGCCGTTTTTAAGCTGAGTCGAACTTTATAGCCGTTCGAAGCATCTGTGTTGATGGAATATATATTTATAGTTGTTAGAGAAAACACCACATTAACATTGAAGTCTATCTTTGTTTCTGTCTAAACACCAAAATTCTACATTTCTTTTGTATTATAGACTTAATGCAGCTACACAACATTACAGCTAGGAACGTTGTCTATACAATATGTGCAATATAAAATTATTGGTTGAAGCTTAATCAAAATTTTAGCATTATCATAACATGCAAACATCCTTAAAAAACATTGTTCTTACCTGGCTTACAGAGTTCTTCTGCACATGCAGATAATATAAAAAACAAGAAAAAAGTATTTTTCCACATTTCAGGGGAAAATGAAAACCAAAAACAACTAATCCAAGGCACAAAGTTCCCAGTATTACAATATGTGAGTCTTAGAGGTTAATCAAATACTTCACTGGATTATGTCTGACTTTAATGGTTAAGCCACAGGGAAGGAATAAACAGAAATGCAGTCAGCTACGCCTTCCCGTCACTCCATGGAGACCGTAAAATGAGCCCTCCAGTGAGCAAGAAAGAAAAAAAAAAAAACGCTGATGTTTATTCAAGCTTTTAACAAGCCAGATGAAGAAGAAAAAAGCAGAGCTCAATCTGTTCTCTCTACTGTCCTGCCTTTCTGTTGAATTTAGCCTTTAGCCTTTAGCTCATATCTGTCCAACAGGATTTAGATAAATCCATCTTAATTGCCTTCATTAGTGAGCTAATTTTGAACTTGAAAACACGACACATTCTTGTTTATACCATTACAATCATTCAGAATTAAGTATATGGAGGTGAATGTGTTCGACTACTGTAACACCACTGTGTTAGCTTCACTGGCTAACCAGTAACAAGAGATGAAGAGTAGATAAATTTAAGCAAAATTATGTTAAAATTATGACATTATTTAAATATATCATATATATTCTGCTTAAATAAAGGTTAAACATCTTAAAGGCTGTAATGATGAAATGCAATGTCTCAATTCTGGATAAAAAACAGAAATTTGGTGGGGGGGCACATTTAAAATGACAGAGGTCCAAATTATTATTTTAATGATTGTTGTTGATTTTTAAATGGTTTGTACTGTCAGAATAAGTATTTGCAATCTCAAGTGCTAAAATGAATTGTACATAAATCTATTTTAATTTGAATTATTATTGTAGCCAAGTATATGATCATGATTTTAATACGTTGTAAGTAAAACCCAGAGATGTTATTTCAAGCTTTGTTCTAATTGTAGATAGAAGGTGACAGCCACAGGATATAATGCCAAAAAGACATACCCGGAGATTGTTGCATGTTTAAGTTAACTCATCATCCATTTCAATATCGACTTAGCAGCAGTTAGCAGTTTAGTAAATTATTCAACCACAGATAGTAAAAGATTTCCAGCAAAGGCAATAGTGAAGAAATAAAGTCAAAGTCTGTAGAAAACTGTTTGCCAATGTGAAATCGGCAGTAAAACACAAACCACCCACACTGAGCCAGTACTTAAAATACTTTACTCGTCATTGTCACCACCATCAGAGTACAGAGTTCTAAGACCAGGAAAAGAGTAAAAACCAAAAACTAAAAGGTCAAAATTATGAACTGAAAAGTAAAAATGTGAGATTAAAGTGATGTTTTAACAGATACGATTACAGTTAATAATGACAGATACGATTGAAAATATTAAGAAAAAAAATACTACTGATTCACTGTTTCTTTTATAGGTAAGTAGTTACAACCGACTACTAAACAACTGGTTGAAATTATAAGATAAAAAATTAACAGAAATAGAAAAAAAATAAAGTACTTGATGTCTATGCATTTAACTTTAGGGAAAACAGCGGCGATTGGTGGTACATAATTGCACTGCAACGATCGATTTAAATACAGTATATAGATTCTTGTGGGTCATTATGGTTTAAACCCTCTTAAGTTATCCTAATAAGAAGAGTGTGTCATCACCCAGAATCAGTGCCTTAAACTGGTCTGATTCAGTTCAACTATAACTGGATTTTATCAACGTTACTGTAAGTCTGAGTATTTAGGACCATGGGGAGACGGGCAGGGAGGGAAGGATGAGAGCATGGCAGAGTAGCGTAGTGGAGTGGAGCCCAATGTTTTACAGCATGCTGAGGTTGGAGATGCTGCTGAATGAGATGCTGGAGCTGTGAAGAAATGAAAGACTAGATCAGCCAGTGAGGAGGAGGAGGACAAATTAAGATGAAGAGGAGAGTGGTAAGTATGAATATTAGCTGCTAGGAAAAAACCTCCGTCCTGCTTCTTTTTTACCTCCAACATTATTGTATGGTGTGACTAAGTGACTCTTTGTGTTGTGTTGTTTTCATTTGAATTTCCCATTTAAGACAACCTCCAAAAAGTTGTCAGTTGGTGATTTAAAAAAATAAATAGCAGCTTAATGTTATTTTGGCTCAGCTCTTTGTTCAAACAGGGATTAGGTGGGTGGCATCTGATGAACATCACATTTATCTGCAGCTCCAGCTGAGGGGAGTGCAGGTGTAACTGAGATGCTGCCTCTGCTCTTAACTGTGGCACCGAATCAACTGTGATTAAAAAATTCAACAATGTCATCATCAGTGGATGTTGTGTTTCCTACTTCTTTTAACCAATGTTTAATTGTGTCTTAGTGCCAAGGTCTTACTGGCATCATCATCTTCACCATGGTTACCATCTTTGTTATGCTGTACCAGAGCAGAGACAAAACGTCTTCTTCATCAGCGTCTTCACCTCCTTCCCACATCTTCAACACACAAAGTTTGTCCACACAAAAGCCCCAGAAACCCAGGACCGTTAAGTCAACACTTGGTGGCTACACCAGTGTCATGGACCAGGAGGTACGTCCTTAAAACATCTGTTCTTATACTGGATACATATCATGTTTGAATTATAAAGTCTTCTTCAGTCTTCCACTTGTGCACTAGCATCACTTCACTCTAGTCTTAATTTATCTTCAAACCGCATTTTCTATACAAAATGTTTTGGTTTTGGGTGAGGTGCCAACCACTGGGGCAGCACATTTACAGATATCAATATCAAGAGACAAATTAAACATGATTAAAGTGAAAACTGTGTCTGATTTGTCAAATCCTGTGAATGGTTTAATCCAGAGATTGTTGGATTGTTGTCCTGTTCAAAGCCAAGTGCTGCAGGTACAGGCCGACCGTGGAGGCTGAAGAGCAGCTCCCAGATCTGAGTGGTCGAGTTTGCTCTGAAAGCGATTATAAGTCCGGAGTTCCCCTGGGCATCGTACAACCAGGTTTGAACTGATAAGTTCAGAGTGAGCAGGTGGGCAATATTTGGCTGGGACGGGGACTGAGACGGTCTCCCCACCTAACCTGATTCTTCTTCTCTCTCCATGTCTACACAGTCTGTCAACTGTTGTAAACTGGAACGTTTCTGTCCTGATCCTTTTTCTTTGGCGATTGTCTTGTTTACTGAGAGCTTGTACGATGGAGATGTCCCTCTGCAGACTTAAAGGCGTAGACTAAGGATGTGTGCGTGGGTGTTGGCAGGTGTCAGGGACCACAGTGACGAAGCACATTTATTCTTATAATGAAGACTCTCACAGTGATTGTGAGCAGATGCTCCAGTCTGAATTCTAGGACTGTTCAAGGGTAATTTTACTCTTGCTCAGATTGTTTTTAAAACAGGTTTTCAATTACTATTTTGGAAGTTCAACTGCACACTCCCTCTATGCTGCAGTGGTTACACGTAACATGAGGTAATTGCACTCAAGGGCAAAGTGCACTGCTTCTGAAGGAGTGAGAGGTACAAGGGAGTGTTTTTGTACTGTTGGTCTGGGAGGGTGTGTGTTTGTTCAGTGAAGCATGTAATTCACTGCATTCATTTGTTGTCACTATACACACATGGAGTATTCCACTTTTGGAAATGATGCACACATACACACATTTAAAGAGTGTAGGGTCAGAGAGACAGGAGAAGTACATTATGAATATTGCAGTGGGAGAAAAGAGCCTGCAGTTATATCACATTTACACACACACCTAACGGTTCCATGAATATGAACCTCACCTGAATATTTGTTGTGGTTAGGCCTGAACTCACCATTTTTATTGCAGAAATTGTTGCTGAACATAACAGCATCACAGCAGTTTTAAACAGTCTAGCTAGCTTCACACAGACCTTGGTGTTTCAAATTGTTAACAAATACTGAATGCCTAATGAGGAAGGACAAATCGTTGTTCTTCACATGACATTTTTTTTCAGGTAAGCAAAATCTTTGGAATAAAAAGACTTTAAAATGCCAGGGTTTAACTTTTGTTGGTAGTCAGACTCCCTGCCATCCTCTCTGCTGACGATGTGTTTTATCGACCTTGCTGTTCTCCCTGTGGCTATTGGATTTTTACTACAGGTAACTGCAGTAACACCACAAAAAAAAACCTTCCTATGTGGATTGTAAAGAGTTTTGACCTTACCTTACCTTAAAACTCTGTTTTGAAATCACACAGTTTGAGACTTGACTTATGACTAATCTTTCACCTCCACAGTCTCTGAGGATCCACTGCAGCACGTGTGCACTTGTGACCAGCTCTGGTCAGCTGACAGGAGGCAACAGAGGAGAAGAGATTGATCGCTCCGAGTGTGTCATTCGTATGAACGACGCTCCCAGCGCAAACTATCAGCAAGACGTTGGTCGGCGCACTAGCCTGCGTGTCATAGCTCACTCCAGTCTGCAGAGGGTGCTAAGAAGCAAACAAGAACTGCTCAACACCAGTCAGGCGACAGTGTTTATTTTCTGGGGACCTAGCAGCTTGATGAGACGGGATGGAAGAGGTCACGTGTACAACAAACTACAGCTGTTGAAGCAGCTTCTGCCCAAACTGATAATCTTCACAGTTTCTCGAAGCAACATGTTCAAGTTTGATGAGCTCTTCAAAAGAGAAACAGGGATTGACAGGTAAATATTCACAGACTCCCAGCCCGCATACCAAATTTGTACAATGAAACATTTTAGACTTTTATACTAGTAATACAGTATATCTGTCTTGGTAAAAATAAACAAATAAACATGAGCATCAGAAATGCAGAAAAAAGACTGGAGACTCTGTTTGTTTGGCAAGGTTAACATATACAATCAAAACTTTTTTTTAAATGTTGTCACATTTAGCCAACTGACCTTCATTACTGTATAAAATAAAGCCAGGCCATATTGTCACTTACGTGGACTTGTCAACAGTGGTTCTTGTACATCCTGCATGTCTTTCAGGAGGATTTCCCACTCCTGGCTCAGCACAGGCTGGTTCACCATGGCCACAGCCCTGGAGCTGTGTGACAGGATCAACGTGTATGGCATGGTGCCTCCAGACTTCTGCAGGTAAAGTTAAAGTTATTTACAATACTTTCAATTGACTGGTCAATCAGATTAACCACAGGGTAGCTGTGGATTAATTAAAATTAATCATGACTTACAAACTGTTGTCCTCAGCTAGTTGACTGTGTGAGCAACAATAATTATTGTACAGTACAGTGAGCATCAGTCTGCCCATGCGTTAAGAAGTTTACTCACATTAATCTTCACTTATTTTATTCAACATTCATTTATTCTGGGATTAGGAAACACACTCATGAACAGTTTATATCGATTCTAGTGCATGGTAAACAAATATGGACATGTGCATATTTTGCACGTAAAATAAAATCTTGCAAATAAAAATATTCTGTGTATTGGCATTGGGAAAATGTATAAAAACACTTCACTGCTGTTTAGTATGCAACTGGAAAAGTAACTTGGCTGAAATCATAAAAACCTAGTCTGGCCCAGAGAAGTGTGTGACTTATTATGACATTCAGAGAGAATGAGTTTTTCACCGAGCTCTGTGTGACAGACCGTATCAGACTGGTGTGTAATGACTACAGCTGTTATCCTTCTTTTATTTGATCTTTCGTGTCTCATCGTTCTCTGTCTCTGCTTCAACCCCCACAGTTTCAATCTTTCAACCCAACTCTCAATTATCCCCAGGCTAGTTCCACAGCTTACATAGGTTTTACTCACAGACTTTTTGTTCCCCTCATTTTTCATCTTCCTCTCACCGTGCAGGTCCTCCCCCCACACCTCTGTGCCATATCATTACTATGAGCCCGGGGGACCTGACGAGTGCTCCGTGTATCTCTCCCACGAAAGGAGTCGACAGGGAAGCAACCATCGCTTCATCACCGAGAAGATAGTGTTCGCAAACTGGGCTCAAACCCACAATATCCACTTTTACCAGCCAAACTGGAGGCCCACGGCTCTCATCAGCAGAACAGACGGCTCGTACACACCTGCTCCAGCTGGCTCCTGAGACTCACTGCGCAGATGTTTGGGATGTGTGTTTGTGTGTTTGTGTGTGTATGGGTACAAATGTTCTGTGTAAAATCTGAATGCAGATGACAACAGTAGCAGAATAATCAGTTTGGCAGCAATGATCCAGAACACCAGCACAGGGGCTCAACAGTGTTTTTGAAGTGTACCTATATCAGGATGAGTGTCAACGCTGTGGGGGTTAAGTCTTTGTGGAGCTGATTAAAAACACTCTGACAGAGAACTCTTCAGAAGCTGTACTGCACGTCCATTTCCACGACCAGTCGACCAGTCTCACTGTATATAAGTGTGTACTCTGTATTTAAGTGTGAGGGGGTTCTGTGACCTGAGAGTTACAGTGGTGAGAAAATATCTTAAAGTTTTCTTAATGCACCGAAAACTATTATTTACTGCAAATGATTTGTCTTTTGTCAATTATGTGTCAGTGACAGGAACACAAATTAAATACTTAACAGTATTGTTTTCAACTTGATAGTCCCAGGTTTCACCACAAGTAGGTAAATTATGAGTAAATTGAAACCAGAAAAATCATTCATTTTTATAATTTATTCATATACCTTGTGACTATAAGAATATAAATATAAGAATATAAAGTATTTGCAGTACTAAAAGAGAGACTTAGTTGTGGTGAAACGAATTTCTATGTATTAGATGCTAGATACATTTAAGGATTTATACATAAAAAAATTAAAAACCGTTAAAAATACGTAATTCAGACCGTGTGGTCTTTGTAGAAGTGACTAACAATGTGCCACGAGCTAAAATAGTGTGGTTTAAGACCAACATTTAAAATCCTTTTAAAATTGTTAGAATTTACTTACTTTTTGAATGATTCATCAGATGGTCGATAAATGAAACTGTTCTTAAGAACAGAAACAAAGTCCAGTCCAGCAGAAAGATGTACAGAGGCAGCTAAGCTAAGACACAATCAGTAACAGGACGATGTCAAAACAATGGAGATGAGCTGAGCGGAAAGGAAAGACGGTGTCGCTTAGTTAGAGTTAACGAGTCACAGGTGGGAAAGATGAATTAATTAATTACTATGGGAGACACAGGAGGTGGAGACGGGTGGATGTGAGGACACGGCGGGATAACTAAAATAAAAATGGTTGATAACGTTTACTTTTTGCCTCTTTTAAAACACGTTTTATTAAACCTACAATGTTTCTCATACAGAAAGTTCACTCCTGTGGGGATTCTTTTGCTTTGAGCTGACATTATTTTCTCTCTTATAAATTATTATTTTTGTATATGGTAATTATGTGAGGTGTATTTACTACTTTAGTAGTAGTAAACTACTTACTACTTTAGTAGTAAATACACAGTTTTCCATAGGTACAGATGCAACCTGGTTTATTATACTGTATTTGCCTTAATGACATGAATACCTGTAAATATCCACAACTGTTAACAACAACAACAGTTCGACGACCTTGTTTTCTATATAAATAATAATAATAATGATGATAATAATAATAATAATTATAACATTATATTTTATTTTAATAACTCTTTTAAAAAAAACAAAATTCTCAGTCCATCGTAACAGTATTAGTACTGCTTTGTCACTGCTCAATGACGTGTAGTTTCACACTGGATCCACCAGGTGGAGACACAGTTATATATTATGACATTTCAAAGAACAAACTTAAGATAATATTTCCACGTCCTCATCTTACAAATGAGTGCATTCCATTCTGCTGCTGAAGGTAAATGACAACATGTATTTAAAGGGTTGTAAACCAGGGCGTCTGCACCAGCCTTTTCCATGACGTCTCTCACTGACCACAGGTGAATGATGAAGTAGTTTGTTTTGTCTCTGAGTGTCCTTATGTCCTGTCCTCTTCTCCACTGTCAACTTTAATGCCTCAGCTCCTTCCAGAGGAGTGAGTCACACTGCACTGTTTCTTCTTGGAAATTCATAAATGACTCCTTTGTCAAGTTGACAAAGACTTTACTCTGGCCAGTAAAATAAACAAGAAAAAAATAAAATAAATAACGTACATAAGTATCTTATCTCAACAAGGAGTTCTGAAATGTGTGTATGTGTGTTTCTTGTGACAATGACAAGTAAATTTCATTTCTACTCAACACACAGTATATCCTGTTAACTGAATCAGAATCAGATCCCTTTCTTACTAACGTGTTGTAGTCCAGTGCTCCCAGTCGTTCATCATCTCCTGCTTTAGTGGAGCAGGATAATAGTTTAAAATGTAAACATTCTAGATGTTAAATTGGGCATAGACAGTTTATTAAGCTATGGTTAGGTTAGGTTAACCACTGGTGATATACGGTTAGGCCGGAAGATCATGGGTTTGCATCCCTGGCTTTTGGTGTCGAGTAAACCTCAACATTCCACTGCTCCCCAGGTGTTGTTTATCCCCCAACGCTCCCCAAGGGATGAAATGAGGACACATTCTGCTGTGTGTATGTGTCTGTATATGTACAATGACAAATAAAGCTGATTTTGCAGTATACGCACAGCATTCGCTTCTTCTTCTCTGTATTTCAAACGTTGGTGTTGGACTCAATTAAAAAGTGCTGAATCATGGTACACTAATGCTACACACTGCGCACAGAGCAGTACAAATGAACGTTACATGTTAGAAGTCAACTTTACTTCATATTTTGGACAGGTCACTTACTTCAGTGTCCTCTCTTAGCTTTAGTATTTGCCACATTTCAAACCTCCCCACTCTTCTGCAGTAACTATTCCCTCTAAATGAGAGGAAAAGCAAGGTGACAGAAATGAAATCTAAATAATGTGTGGTTGAGTGGCACCTGTCCCACCTGTGTATCCAAGAAAATGTCAACCTCATTACATAGAGATGTTGGGAAAGTGAACAAATGGCTGCGGCTGCAGCTGCTGTTGGCAAAGAGCCCATAATATGGGCCATTTTCCCATTAACGGCCAAGTCTGTCTGTATCCCACCGAGTCAGAGAGTCTATTACTGCTGCATCATTTGGTCCAGCCAACAAAGTAGTCCCATACCTGTGTCCCACTAGTGCTGCCTGTCATTACTGTGTCGAGCAGATACTACATGACACCACACTCGGGGGTGTCATGTCATCAGGAAATCAGGTTTTTTTCAAGACTTATCCTGCTGGAAAACTTGTGGTCTTTACACTTCCTGTGGGGGAGAGTTTTCATTATCACGTCCAAAGGACAAGGTGTTCCGTTTCAGCACTCGGAGCAGACAGCAGCTATTAAATCACCGACTATAAAATTCAATTAGCGATAAAGCAGTGAACGAAAAGCATTTTTTTTCCATCCCATCACAGACTTTTAAATTCTGACAAACATCTCGTCACTTTCGTGGCTGAACACTCGTGCGAATAGTGTAATTACAACAAATTGTCGTTAAAAAAAACAACACAACAACATATGATGTACATATGACATATTGCAAACAACAGTGATGCTGATCACAGTATTTGCTTGAGGATGATTCAGAGTAAATGTAACACATGACTGACAGAAGGAAAAACACAAATATATCTGCGCCTCACTGCTGCCATAGAAAAAAAAGGGTTTTGATCCACGGCCAACGACTCTGTGCAGTCCAAACCATTAGGTTATTGTCAGTGCCTGAATAAGCAATTTTGTACCATCAGCATAGCAACAAGGTGGTAACATTATACCACCACTACAGTGTAATGGGACTGAAACGCCCGTGACAACCAGTGTCAGATAGACAGGGTTGTTCATGTTATTTCATGTTCAACCACATGTTGTTTTAGCACCTGTGTGGTCATAACAGTGTGGTTCTCTGCCCACAAGGATGTATACAGGATCTACAGTGTGAGTTCTGCCACAGGAGGAACAGGTGGCACAGATGTTTGTCTCCCTCCACAGGAGCACAGAGGAGAACACTCTCACCATGTTCAATGACAGTGACTGAATACACACTGTCATCTGACTGCCATTAAACAACACAGACAGAAGGTGGAGGCTGGAAAGAAGGACTGGCGTTGAGGTAAGGAAGCCACTTGTTGATTTTTGTACAATTAACAACTTTGTAACTGTTGAAGGTTTGAAACGGAATTTTAGTTGTTGAGTTATTTTAACTCAAATAGTCTTTCTATTTTTATTTATCAAATACTATAAAAATAATTGTGTGCAAATATATATCTAAAGTAAACATTTAGAAAAGGTGGTCAAATTCTGTTTACTTTTGTACAGATAAGTATAATGTACTTTAGTAGAGTTTTATACAATACCCTGAAGTAAAGTATAGTTAAGTATACTATAATACAGTACAATGCAGTGATGTATAATGTAGTATAAAAACAATAAAGTTCAGTACAGTTATGTAGTACAGTGTAGGCAAAGTAGTACATTACAATAGTGTACACTGTACTGAAGGGTGTAATATTATGTAGTATGGTATAGCAAAGTAGAGCTCAGCATACCCATGTTATATTAGGTAGTATAATGTAGTATAGTATACTGTTGTATAGCATAGCAAGTATAATCAAAGTAATATACACTGCAGTACAACTTTGAATTGATACTCTTTAAACTCATAATTTATACTGTGTAGTATAACACAGCACAGCATAGTACACCATAACAAACAGTTGTGGACTGCGGTAAAATACTGTGTTGTGTGTACGCCGTTGTAGTATGCAATGCTGGACACCATGAATAACACATTATTAATAATATATATATAATATAAAATTATTATTATTATTATATATAATAATATAATAATATATATAATATATTATATTTAATAATTTATAGACTACAGAGTAGTACAGAGCAGGAGAGTACTGTATGTTACCCTAATATGGGACAGTGTAGTACACACACAGTCATTTTTAGCATGATTAATTATCTAGGATCTGTGCTGACTCCCTGTTTTCTCTCTCTTTACTCTTTCTGCTGGTTACAGTTCCACCATGTTTTCCAACAACAGCACAGAGTCTGATTCTAGGTCGGAGCTGTCAGCCAAAGACATCAGCCAGAAGAAGCTCTCCGTTACTGCGTCCATCATCTCCATGACAGTGGGCATCTTGTCCAACAGCCTGGCCATCTTTATCCTGGTCAAATCCTACAAGCGCATCCGAATCAAGTCCAGGGCGTCCTTCCTGCTGTTCGCCAGCGGCCTGGTGGTCACTGACCTGTTGGGTCACCTCATCAACGGCTCCTTGGTACTTTCTGTTTACAGCTTTAACAAGAAATGGAAGACCTTTGACCCTCAGGGCATTGTGTGCAACACCTTTGGAGCTTCCTTGGTGTTCTTCGGTCTCAGCCCCTTGTTCCTGGGCAGCATCATGGCAGTAGAGCGCTGCATCGGGATCACCAAGCCGATTTTCCACTCCACTGTGTTCGCCCACCACCACATGAAAAAGCTGCTGGTTCTCACCTGGACTCTGGTTGCAGTCGTGGCCTGGCTGCCTGTGATGTTGGGGAGGCCCTACAAGGTCCAGATATCCAGAAGCTTTTGCTTCTTCCATCTGCAGGAACCCAGTGACTGGGTGGACGTCTTCCTGCCGCTGCTTTTCTCTGTACTTGGCCTGCTCACTCTGCTCATCTCCATTTTGTGCAACACTGTGACCAGCTGCGCTCTGCTGCGCCTCCGACTGTGTAAAAAGCGTCGGAGCAATGGAACTTCCTACCATATAGAGATGATCTGCCAGCTCCTGGCCATCATGCTGGTTTCCTGTAATTGCTGGGGACCGTTACTCGTAAGAACTCATGTTTAGACTCTTGTATTCTTTTTAGACCTTTTATTTCATTTTTTTGCATGTTGACCATTACTCTTATTGTTAATGCTAGGGATGTCCGATAATATCGGTTGGCCAATTTTATCGGACATCCCTATCATTCGATTATTATTATTAGCATAATAATTTAATATCCTTTATTGCTTTTTGGTGTAAGATCCTATATTGGTTTTCCTCCGATAATGAAAACCTGGTAATGCACTGCATGGGTATTGCCGAATATGCTGGAAACGCTAATACATTTACCTCAGTTTTGGGGACAAATGGCTGGTATCAGTTGATATCGGAAATTAAGTATTTGGACAATTTTGGCGTATACCAATCCCAATATCTAATTTGCTCAGATACAGTCAACCTTAAGTATGCAGGACGAACCCAAGCCCTCTGAAAATGCCTTAAATATATTTATGCCGTTCACAAAAACCTACACCAGAGGGTTATTATTTTGTAAAGTCATTCTGCACCTTTTTTTTTTTTTACTTTTAAGACCTTTAATAGATTGATTTGCTCCTTGGAGTTTAACCTTTCCACTGTTTTACTGTCACAAACTCACATCACAATAATATACTAGTGAAACATTTGCATACCTTAGAAATATGCAGAAATATGCAAAGTCAAGTGTGAATCATGAAACCTATTAATTAGGCATTTGCTAATTAAGGTCTGTTTTGAATGATTTATGATCACAGCTTCAGAAAACAGCATTCTGTGTTGAACTGATGAATCATCTCTGCAACTGTAGTTCTTCAGCAGCTTCTCACTGTTTCCATTGTTCTGCCAGATTCACGTGATCGTTGAGAGCGCTAAAACCAGACACGACCCCACCTCTCTCACTCTGCTGACCGTGATACGTATGGCCACCTGGAACCAGATTCTGGACCCCTGGGTATACATCCTGCTGCGGAGGGCTGTTCTGAGGAAAATCTTCACCTTTATCCACTGCTGCTGGGGCCCAAAGATGAGGGAAACTCACCGCTGGCAGTGCAACGCACTCCGCAGCTCTCTGGATACCAGCACCTCTGGAAACACGCAGGTTTTGTGCCACTGCAATGGAACGTTAGCTCCTTCAGATGTGGTGATTAAATCCATCACCTGAGAAATCAAATGTATTCTTAGAAAGGATTAACATTATTTAAATACTATAACATGTAGAAACCATGTGCAAGAAGCCTCTTTGGTAACCCATCACGAACCACTGTATTTGAAAACTATAACATGTATATCATTTTTGTAAATTATTATCTCGGCTGTAAGTGTTCATGTCAAAGTAATGTCTTCAATGTTTTATAATGTACTCTATGTTTATTGTTGATGGTGAAACTATTATTGTTGTCACTGATGTGTGTTTTTTTACAGAGCTCAGGTTTGACTGATACAGTATATGATACAGATTCATTATTATCTAAAACTGAAGTTCGATGTATTTTTCTTGCTTACAAACAAGTTCATGTTCGATGTATTTTTCTTGCTTACAAACAATAATTAAAATGATGCAAGTCAGTCATGTGTAAAGTTTCAAGGACAGTAGAAAATGTATAAAAACAAGTGAAGTAATTGGCCCCCACCAGGTAGAAAATCAATACAGCAGTGGTGTCATTATTGGCTGGAGCAGCTGGGTAGCTCTTTTTCCTGTTTATAAATGAATGCATTTAGAAACTATAAATATAACAAGTATTCATAGTCTAAAAATCTTTAGTAAGACATCACAGCTTGCACGTCTGTAAATTAAATAATACTTTACAAAAAAGTAGTGAGTGTAGAGTCTCACTGACGTTTCTACGTATGTTTATACACGTGCAGGATTTGGTGAATTATTACAGATTTAAAGAACACACACATTCAGGTTTATTCTGTTGATTAATAAACGCTGAAGATTAAACGCGATGTCATTTCAAAGGATATACTTTAACCCATGTTAGCGTTAGGGTTAAGAAGAGTTGCACAATACTAGACAATTAATACTATTGTTCAATTGTGTTTTTGAGACTAATTCTGTTTTAATGTCGTTGGATATGTTTTGCTTTTTTAAAAAACATTTTGAGATCGTGACAGCTGACAGGGTTTTGGCGCGTATCTGTATCTGTTCATATCTGGCGTCAGGACTGCTCTGCTCTCTCTTGGCTCGCTTACTCTTCTGCGGGATGTGCAAACTGGGGAGGAGGGATATTTCTGCACACCTCCTGAGTTACTTCACAGAGCTGCAGGAACACGGGGGAGGAGGAGCAGGAGGAGAGACCGAGGGACATCACACTCACGGAGCGTGGGTTAGAGAGCAGAAAGCATCCCGTCACTGGCTCCAGCTTCTCTGTGGCCGTCGGAGAGACTCTGCTGTGCACCTTCAGCCCGGGCTCCTCAGATGTAAGCGGATAAAATGCTGAAGTTCTTCTCTGCGCGGGATGACGAGAATGAAAGCCTTCTGGGAGCAATAACAGAGGGTAAGACGTGCATGGGTTTGAATGGGATGAGAAAAAAATCTAGCCCCCATTCACTGTGCCTGTGATGCAGGGGGAGGAGGAGGGATGCTGCTGATGTTTTCTACAGAAAATGATGATCCAGCATTTCACAGCGCGCCTGGTCAGCATCATCTCTCTCTCTCTCTGTGTGTATGTGTTTATATGTACAAGACCATCCTCCACCTCACTGATCCTCACCTCAGTGGAGGGTCCAGTGATGTAACGTGATGTGATGTGATGACAGTGAGCAGGCGGACTGAGTGTCGCATTGCCACCGGCGGGTCTGGACTAAACACTTACACGTGTGTTTAATGCGTCACTGTCCCAGAGGGAGAGCGGCAGCAGCACAGAATGTGATCATCGCTGTCGTCACTCCGTGGTTACAGAAGATACATTATTTCCATCATTTTGCAGATGGAACTGCAGTGCAGTAGGCTAGGGTAATCCTCTGGTCCCGTGTTTACTATGAACAGAACACGTTCACTCTCGCCCGTTAGTTTCTGAGTATCCAATACGTCACCTGACAAGGATTTCGCCTTTTTCTCGACTGTAACAGCTATGATGTGATTTCCGTGTTACGGAGAAGGCTGCTGAAAATACAAGGGTTTATGAATGGACTCACTACAGGACATTCTGCTGTAAATACAATTATTGCGCATACATACACGGCGATACGAAGGGACAGGTAGTACATATACGTTTTAGTGTTATTTATTGATTCAGCAAAAAAGTTCACATTAAAAACCACGAAAGTCAATAAGGAAACTTAAGGTAGGCTTTGTTGGGTTTTTAGTAGGATAGTAGGATATTATCCAAACACTTAATTTTCGATTCTGATATGCTGCCATCTAGTGACTTTCACTTTAATATACAGCTGTTTGTCCCCAAAACAATTTTTTGGGCACACATTATTTGGGGAAACCCAGGCATTGCGTTATCAGATTTTCATTATTAGAGGAAAAATTGATATGATTCTTACAGATATTACATAATATGCTAGGGGCATCCAGAGTTTTTAGATAATTTAAGTTCAATACCTTTCCTATTGGGCCGAAAATGCAACTCTATATCAGATATTTATGATGTGTGATGTCATCAATTATACATAATCAACCACTTTTGATTTAGAATTCAGCTTTGTTATAAAAAAATAAAAGCACATACACATCTTTGGTCTAAAATAAATAATCGGAAATCCAAAGGAAAAGACAAGAGCTAAATGAAACACAGTGAAAAAGAACACAGTGTACACTGAGCAGTAACAAACAAGGAGCAGAGAGAAAAAGAATTACACAGCTGTTCCTGGATGTAGAAGCATTTCAAACATAATGCACTATTATAATTTTTAGTAAAACATATTGCACTGTTGATATTTTCATTGAGAACAGATTGCACTATTGATATGTTATTGTCTATGTATATTCTTGTCTTCAATCTGATTGTGCTGCTATATAATTTGTTCCTGTAGCGTCAGTATTGCAGAAGCTCACAGCTAAACTTCATGTCCTGGAACTGTAACACTGGTTCTTGGATCGGACATCAAGGACGACTGTGTGCTAATGTTGTCTTTAGTGATGATTGAAAGCCGTGTGGAATGAAGGAGGCGATAATGGGCAATAACACACACCACTAAATGGCCACTTCGCACATGTGAACACAGCGTTTCCACCTAATGAGTCTGTGTTAATCAGCTCCCATACAGTACATGTGGAATGGAACGTCAGGAACGCAATGGAAGACGGTGTTCATAATAACGTTGTGCTTCTCTTTTCCCTTCCCCATGACAGATGAGGGAGACAACCCATCTCTGCAGGACTCAAAGCAGCAGTGGCTGAGCAGACCCTGCCTGCTGGTGCTCAAAGATGGGAACGTGTCAAAACCGGGACTGGGCTGTGGACAGATTAGACCCGACTCACCCTCTTTAGCTGCTTCTGACGCAACAGTCAGAACCCCTTTTGAGCCATGCAACCCAAAGCCCTCTCAACATCTTTCCAAAGTTGCTTCACCCTCCCAGCTGGAGGAAGGCAGCTGCACTGTGACCACCATCTCCTCATGGGGAGAAAGCTGTTTCGGGGAATCATCAAGCCCCCTGGTGCTGAGTCCTGCTGAGGTTGCCTGGCCAGAGGAGGGAGGGGCTAAAGAGGAGGAGAGGAAACCCCAGGCTCTTCCATCGAAGGAGGATTCTGTAGTTGAGGAGAAGGAACTGGAAGAGAGTGAGCAGGAGCAAGACCAGTACTGTAGCTCAGAAACTCCCGAGGAAGCATCTCTAGAAGCCCAGAGTCAGATAAACACAGCGAAATCTAATGGAAGAGATGAAACCAACAGCAGTAAGGCCCAGGCAGTAAGTGGCGACAGAGAATCTGGAGACTCCCCCGGGGTTCCAGATAATGAGCTCGACCCAAATCCTATGGGCGTTTCGTCAAAGGACAAAGGCAGCATCCTCGGAGAAGTGGCTCCTGTGTGGATCCCTGATGCTGAGGCACAGGTCTGCATGAAGTGTGGGACTAAGTTTACATTTACAAAGAGAAGGCACCACTGCCGAGCCTGTGGAAAGGTGAGTAACCTAGACTTAAACTGTTTTTGTTTTTTTGTTGATGTGTTGTGTAGGTTTTTTTTTATTTAAAAAAATGCAACTAAGACACCTCCCAAGTAAGTGACTTGGTGTTTGACGTGTCAAACATGTATGTGTGCATTTGTCCCTTCTGTGGTGTGTGCATGTGCATGTGTGTGTTGTTAGGTATTTTGTGCACTTTGCTCCAGTCTCAAGTTCAGACTTACACATCTGGACGGCAAGGAGGGACGCGTTTGTGTTTCCTGTCACTCAGCTCTCATCAAAAGTGAGAAGATATTCATTTCTTTGGTGAATGTTTGTGGGGTTTTTTTTTTACAAACAGACCTTGCACACATATCCCTTCATGTTCTCCTCAGGAACACCACCGAGGGGGAGGCGAAGGGTGTGGTTCGCCGACGACGTCGCCCAGAAGCAGTCAGAGTCTGCTCCCACCACGCCAGTTAGAGGTCCAACATTCTCGCCGCTGATGAGACATGCCCTGGGAGACAGGGTTAAAAGCTCTTCGCCGCAGATCAGGAGAAGCTCGAGGCCAGAAGGAACTTCAACCAGTGTAGGATAATCCAAAACATGATACTGTCAAATCATATTCCCCCTGGTTATTGTTAAACCTTGGAAACAATATCAGTCACGGTCCGGTTTTGAACAAGTTTGCCCCAACAGAGGCATTAAGTCAAGAGCTGTAAACAGCCCAGAGCAGCCACAACACTGGCACCCATTAAAAGTCATCACTCAACTCACAGCGGACAAAGCTATCCGTGTAAATATTGACGTTTTCCAGAGAATACAGAAATCCAAATGACAGACTAGTTGTTTAACTACACTTTGTACTTTCTTGCAAACTTTAACTCAATCAGAACCTCAGAAGATGAATTCTCAAAATTAACAAAATACATTAGTGTAATTCATTAGTGTCCAAGAGTTCTGACCGATTCCTGCATCAGGATAGATTCATTGCTCTGCTTTAACATGGTAAATAGCACTCACCAGATCTGGAGAAGAATAATCCTCCTCCCATGTTTCTCTATAGGAGGCCTGCGGTCCTAATGGCTGGGGTACCACGGCTTTAGTCAGCAACTCTTCCAACCTCATTCCAGTACATGGCCTTCCCCCAATCCTCACCTCTACGGGGGTCAAAGGAGGTGAGGCATTAGCAACTCACTACATGGGTGTAACTTTATAGATAATGTATGACCAGTGACACACATGTATCAGCAGTTTCTTTTCTTGTAAAGCATTGACACCATTTGTTTACTTCAGATTACACTGTGGAGGAGCAGCCCTCTGAGATCCTGCTCATACAAGAACTGGAGAGCAGCAGACCAAAGCCTCTAGTGTTCGTCCTCAATGCCAACCTACTTGCTATGGTCAAGTTGGTCAACTGTATGTGTTAATTAACACACATTGTTTTACTGTAATGCATGTCACGCGTGACATATACAGTATACAGTATATGGTGAGCATTTAATTAATGTAGGGTAATGACCTGACGTGGACACAGGAGGGCACTGTTGTTCGACTGTTGATAACTGTGGGGGTGGTTCGTAAAGGGTAAATACTGTATATACCTAAATAATATAATAAATATCTCCTTTATTTCGCGATTTTTCCCATTTCGCGGTGGGTTTTGGAACGGAACTATTGCCCAGGCCTTATCTCTGTTAAATAGAACTAGTATATAGAACATTTTTGCAACTCTTGTTGGGTTTAAAAACATCAACAGCTGAACATCAATTCTATGTTCATGAAGTAGTTGCTACTGTAAGCTGCCTGAAAATGTAGTTCACCATTCCTGTAGCCTGCTTTTCTATTTTGAATATTCATGTTCTCAACTACTTTGAAAGTGTCTTGTTGGATGTCTGTGAATTGTGTCTTGTCTGTGTTAAAGATGTGAACAGGAAGTGCTGGTGTGTGACCACGAAGGGGATGCATGCTGTGGGTCAGGTGGAGGTGGTGATCCTACTGCAGTGCCTGCCTGAAGAGAAAAGCTTCCCTAAGGACATTTTCAACCACTTCATCCAGCTGTACAGGGACTCACTGACAGGTCAGAGACACATGTTGTAGATCACGTGTCAAATTCGAGGCCCATGGGTCAAATACAACCCACCATGTCCATGCTGCTGAGTTTCTTAAACTGATCATTTTTTTCATTTTTATTACACAGAGCAATGTCTGTGTAACTTGAATAAATAACAATCAATTGCAGAAACATTTATTTATTTTGTAATGGAGAAATTATATCTATACCAGGCATGGGCAAACTAAGGCTGAATGTGGCCTGTTCAGCTTTTTAATCCAGCCAACCAAACTTTTCCAAATAATATAATTTATAATGATAATAAAATATTATCATTATACCTCTGCCTTTTCCCTGCAATACCCAAGTTTCCCCAATAGATTTCCCAAACTGAAACTTAGTTTGATACTCCTGCTGGAGCTGGACTTGTAATTTCTCCTGCTGGAGCTGGAGCTGGACTTGTAATTTTTCCCTTTTGACACTCCTGCTGGAGCTGGACTTGTAATTTTTCCCTGAATTGGCTTCAGTTTGAAAATTGAAATTAAAAAATATTTTTGAAAATGAATTCCATTCGGGCTCTGAAATGATAAAAAATGAAATGACCTGGATGACTGAACACTTTCATGAACATCTGTCCACTATGGTGTCATTTCTGTAGGAAAGGTAGTCAAACACCTGTCTTTCTCCTTGTTCGGCGGGAGCCTCCTGGGCACTGAGGAGCATGCAGGCTTTCTCTACGTGAACTCCACTCTCCAGTCCATTCAAGGTCTACCTCTGCCAAACCATCCCTACCTCTTTGGCCTGCTGGTCCACAGAGCAGAGGTGCCCTGGGCAAAGGCCTTTCCCCTACGTCTCATGCTTCGTCTGGGGGCTGAGTACAGATGTAAGATATGAACTTCTTTGTAACCTCGTGTCATTAAAGTGTTTAGTGTTTCGTCATCTCTCTCATTTACATTCTCTCCCTTCAGTTTATCCCTGTCCACTCTACAGTGTGCGCTTCAGGAAGCCCTTGTTCGGGGAAATAGGTCACACCATCATGAGACTATTAGTGGTGAGTGTGACGTTTTCTTTCCACTTACATTCATTACGGTAATTAATAGAAATAAAGCAGCACAGTGTTTGGGTCGCAGCCCCAACAAAATTCAGTATATTGATGCAACAATGAGACATTACAACATTATTTTTAATTTATTTGTGACCCACTTTCAAAAAATGTATGGTGTCTGCTGAGTATATATATATATATATGTATATATATTTGTGCTAACAGAATAGAAATCAAATAAGCTGTGGCTTTATTTTTGTGAAATTAGACATTTCAGTTTCAATATTGACCTTGGTTTGTTCTTCTCTCTCCCAGGACTTTAGAAACTACCGCTACAGCCTACCAATGGTACCGGGGCTCACTGTGGATCTCGAGGCTCAGAGGACCTGCATAAAGATCCCAACCACTGGGTATAATGAGGTAAACTCCAGTGTTTTTAAGTCTCTCTCAGTCTTTAAGGACTCCCACAGTGTGTAAAATTGATTTTTTTTAAATCTCCCTTCTTTTCTTGTCATTGTTCAATTGTCTGATTTTAGCTAATGAGGGCTTTGAATAAGTCAAACGAGCATGTGCTGGCCATAGGTGCGTGCTTTAATGAGACAGCAGACTCCCATCTCATCTGTGTGCAAGGAGACGGTGGCCAGTACCAGACGCAGGCCATCAGTATCCACAACCAACCTCGTAAAGGTACGAGGTACCTATGTACTGAAAAAATAATAATAATTAATTTATATATATATATAATTAGCCCAATTTTCTTATGTTTCCCCATGCTTCGTACCTTTGTGTGCTTATAAATACAATTGTCAAAGTGACATGAACAGCCACGTACCTTTGTTTTGTCGGTGACTTCGAAGTTAGCTCAGATGAATCCCTTCAGACATCATGAAAAAGAAGTGAGTCTGCCTGAACCCTGAGGTAATCCAGCAGAGCCTGAGTGTGTACTGTATCTGCTCCCTCGTCACCCTGACGACAATCACCTGTGCCGGTGTTTTCCTGCTAAAGCTCACAGACAAACAACTAATGATACTATTTACCAAAGAAATGGTTATTTATGAATAAAGATCCGTTGAGTTCAAATACGAAGTTTCATGTGAATTGACAAGACGTCAATATGAGTGTTTGTTTGTCCCGGAAGTAGTACTCATCGTATTCCGTGCGTTTTATTCTGCGATAGCCGGGCTAGCTTCGGTTTTGTAGTTTTAAAACATGTCATTTACTGATATTCAACACTAGAAGGTGGTGTAGCTAAATTAAAACTCGTTCTTTCTCGTTTTTTATTTTTAAATATAATTTTTGTCTGTTTGTCTGTCTGTCTTTGTTTTCAGTCACTGGATCCTGCTTTTTTATATTCAGTAGTGCTTTGAAAACATCTGCAGGATACCTGGCCAAGTCCAGCATTGTAGAAGGTAGGTCGTCCACTCAGAGGAAAGTTTAGTTTAAACTTCTGTCTCCAGCATAAATTAAAACAGTTAATGCTAATGCATTGCCTTCAGAATGCTGTATTGAGAAGGTGATGATGTTTATATGTTTGTCTATGTATATTTTAAAACGCCTGTTTGTCTAGGCGTATGTACATGTGTGAGTCTGAGTGTCAGTCCGTTGCTGTCTGTTTGTGTGTTTCTCCTGTATTGCTGTCGCCTCTCTTCAGATGGATTAATGGTGCAAATCACCGTGGAAACCATGGCAGAGCTTCGCCGATCACTACGGGAGATGAAAGACTACACTGTCACCTGTGGACGGCTCGACCAATCAGAGAGCCAGGAGCTTGTATGTGTGCAGTGGGTGGAGGAAAAATGCACTGTCAATAAAGGGTGAGTGTGTTCACCTGCTTGAAGTTCATGTTGCAGCTGTAGAACTGGGCTATTGTGGTCAATGACAACAGCAGAAATATCATGGAAAATCCACCTCAGTGCTGCTGTAAACATGGACACCAGTCTGTCAACTCGTTTGTTGACCTCAGGTCTTGGAAAAAACATTTCCAATTCACCAGTTTCACCATGATGTTTTTAATGTATGAATTGAAAGCAGTAGCTCTGGTGTATTCTGCTGCCACCAACAGGCTTGGATGGCCAGGCTACATTTTTATGGTCTTTTTCAATGATTAACAAAGCTGTATTTGAACATACTTATGTGGTGACCAGTACCTGTTTCCACCTGGTTAGCTTACATGTTTGTTTCTCCCCAGGGTCATTAGCCCCATTGATGGCAAGTCAATGGAATCTGTCAAGAGCATGAAATTGTTTCAGAAGTCCGAGTACAAAGAAAATGGAAAAATCATCCGCTGGACTGAGGTAAAATTAAGGATTTAAGAAAATCTTAATAACCTTTACATTACCTTTAAACTGTGAACTTAACACGTTGTCATCTTCATGTCCTGTTTAGGTGTTTTTCCTGCAGGCGGAAGATCATCTCAAAAGTGGAGCCTGTGAGTCTGCGGAACACAGTCGGCTAACGGAGAGGATTGCCCGAGCCTTCTGCCTGGCACTGTGTCCTCACCTCAAACTGCTGAAAGAAGACGGAATGGCCAAACTGGGTCTGCGGGTCACCTTTGACACTCAAGAGGTCAAAACAATCAAAACACTGTTTGTATAAACACCCAAATGTAGGTGAAAACCTACAGTAGGAAAACACTGCTTATGGAAACTGAAGAATAATCAGTATCATAAGGGAATTGTTCAAAAATCCTTTTGTAGAGTTAGACTTTACTTTTGTGATTTAAAGCAGTTTTAACAAACAGAAGCAGATTACATTAAAATGATGCATTAAATAGTTGTTTGTAATTTCAGGTGGGATTTGTAGCTGGCAGCAACGGGCAGCCCCTTCCAGCCGGGTACCTCAATGCCCTGGACAGTGTGCTCATCCCGGTCATACAAAGCAGGGGGCGCAAGAGGGGCGAAGAGCCGATTGTGATGGAGCTCATCTTTTACATCTTAGAGAACATCACCTAAGTCTCACCCACTGCATCATTTCATCTTTTCAACCCTGACCACACCTTGGTCTCTGGCGTGTCTTATCATTACTGCTGTCGGCTTCAGGGCAATAAAAGCATTCAAAGGGCGAACCAGACCACATCTAAGGTCTGCATCCATCACATCCACCCACCAGTGGAGAGAAACAGGCCAGCTCTCCAGTAGTTTCCTGATTTTCCTCTGCCGTTCAGCAGACAATCTGGGTAAGCATGAAAGCCTCCATGGACCATTAGATCAGGGTGGTGTCCTTGCACCGCAGTAGCGTTTCATAGCTTCTCATCACTCGTATCCCATTACACACAACCTCCAACAGAAACTAAACCTTTAACGTGGGAGCTGACCTCAGTCCCCTCGATCCTAGAGCAAAAAGAAAAGAGAATGAAATGAAGTACTGTAGTGTTTGTAGTAGATATGTAGCAAACCTGATGCACACACTGAGTGAATGCCCAAAGAATGCTTTCGTACTGGATGCCTTTTAATGATTTCACATGAAATGTAATGTCAGCCTGGAATTAAACTAATGACTGAACTATCCCCTGTTATTGGATCATTTTAGAGTCATATTGAACTTAAATACACAGGGGTGTGTGCATATTCACGCTGTTAATCTTCGAATGGGTGCCAATGGATGTGATGTAGGTTTGCTGTACTGAAAGGTTCTGAAGGCAGCTTTACTGTCATTAGTGGCCTTTAAGTCTATAAAGTTATACTGTTTCTAGGATTTCCTCGTCATTAAATACAAAGCAAGTTTTTCCTAAACAGAGCATTTCAGGTCAGTGGAGCAGTATTGATTCACTTGACTCTTTCACCACCACCATGAATTGTTTACATTCATTCTATGTTTTAAAATCTGCAAAACAAAATAATTTAGACTTGGAAAAATTAATAAATACTACATAGAAAATTTAGTAGTATCAAGATTCATGACCTGGAGGTAGTAAATTACAACAAACCTAAGTCAGCTCAAAAACAGAAGAAAGAAAACCATGTGTCTAAAGACCCTGGAGTGACTGTCGACACACTGGTAAAAGGACTTGATAGTGATCTCGTAGTGTAATGCTTATCAGCTATTCTGTTGGTCTTGGATTCCAGACCTTACACTCCCAACTCCCACGCTGAGTGTCAGCCCCCCAGGCAGTCATCTCAGGGCTGTATGTGACTAATGGGCTTCAAACTACAGGTTTGTTAATCACGGGTTTACCTGCCACCGTATCAATCAATTCATTACTGACAGGGAACCTCCATGAAGGCGGAAGAATGAGGAGACTTAAGAATTTAGTCGTTCATGGGAAACTTGCCTGTGAGGCCAGTGAAGAATGTTTGCTGGGTTTTGTGGTTGACCAATTATTTTTGTAAAGCTGCCTTGCACAGATAATATAACTATAACTAATAACTATATATTTGTTTTCATCTAATCAAAATTTCATACCACTGACCTCAGGTCAGTCTTCGCTGCACATTTCACTGATTGGGACCTGGCCACCACACCAGGGAGGGTGGCCTTAGGAAGGATATGATAGATGGTCTGTACATTTACACTGCTGTTCTGGTCCTGGTAGCCATTCAAAGAGGCTTCACACTACTACCCAGTCTGGAATCTGACCCACAACCAATCCAACTCAAAGACAGGAGTTTAGATGTAAAACAACTGCAGGCGGGTATTGGTAGTAGGTAGTAACCTACTGGGGCTTGAATTGAACCCACACCCAATGGCGTTCACTTCTTTGTGCACGTTTTACTGTACAACTGCACTGATCTACAACCACCCCCCACATGGAAACAGTGACAAAACACTATGCATACAGTGCTGAGACAACCCCCTAATGAATGAATGAATGAATCATTCACACCAAGAGAAAGGACTTTGTCCTGTGTGAAAGTCTTCATTAATTTCTGTTCTACCACTGAACCCTCATCAGAGTCAGTGACATTTATTAACCCAACAAACTACAGTTAATGTACATTTTCACTAAAGTTACACCGAAATAAAACCACTTTGACATTTTTAGTCAGGATACTTTCTCTCTTCTTCTTATGTTTAATCCTTTAAACAAAGAATGGCTGTGTGTTTTTTACTCCTACTTGCTATGCATACTTGGAATTGCCAAGACAAGAGGCACAAGCATGCATTGCAAATACTTTTTTTAAACAAAGCACAATGTCAACAGCCAAGCAACTCAAACACCCAGAGATGAGAGCAGGGAGAGACCATCTACAGAGATAATTTACAGTGAAATTTATTGGCATTTTGTTTTATTTTAAATAAACAACGTAACAAAATTTAGAAACTCTTAAGCGAGCATTACAATTAGTTAGTTGTTTTTTTAATGTAAAACTATTTACAAAAAAAGTATTTTCAAGTTTGATAAAAACTGTACAGTCATCTGTCCACAGGGGGCGCAAAAGGCAATATAGGACTGTGGGGTAAATATGGTGAAGGCAGGTGAGGTGAAAGGTCAGCAGTTTGAACTCTGCTGCAACATCAGTGAAGAAGAACACTTAAATCTATCTTCTCTTCATACATCGTGATCCAGTGATGTTTCCTAACTGAAACAAACCAAATGTGAGGCCCCATCTGTGGAAATCCTGTCTTTTGTATATGAAACTAAAAACAGGAAAGGAACGCCAAAATTATCTGTGGAATCTGTAGTAGTTTTAACAGGTTGTGGGTCATACATTTTGAACATTTCCTTTTAGGATCCTAGGCCTTCTTCATCTTTCCCATGTGAGTGCTGCCGTTCTCGTGGTGAGAACAACCGTTGGTGGTGCCGTACTTGATGCCGTTCTCATGATGTTTGCCGTTCTCGTGGTGTTTGCAGTTCTCGTGACATGTTCCGTTTTTGTACACAGCTGTGCCGTTCTGCGACTGGCTGGCGGCCTGCTTTGGCAAGCGCTTACCCTTCACGTAAGCCTGGACCCAGAAGTTGGAGAAGAGCACAAAGAAGAAGGTTCCATACATCCAGATAAGGTGGAGGATGATGGGGAACTGGTAGTCACAGCTGTCCATGAAGTAATACTGAGTGGCATGGATGGACACCAGGACAAACTGGATCTGTAAGAAAACATTAGGAGTCTGTCAAACTCTCGGGGTCAATGGAAGGAGAACATGGACAAACCACAGCAGCGAGGGTCAACGGTACACACCAGCTGAATGGCAGTCATGTATTTCTTCCACCACAAGAATTTCTGGAAGCGTGGTCCAGCAGCAGCAAGGCCATAGTAGAAGTACATGATGATGTGGACAGAGCAGTTCACCATAGCATGGAAAGAACCCATTCCACCTGGCATTTAGAAAACAAAATATTAGACCAAACTCTTAAAATCTTAGCCAAAGACCTTTAATGTTTCAGGCATATTTTCTATGACATCAGGCTCTGGCACTTCTCTCTGGCACTTCACACCAAAAAAGGTTGTTTTTTCTGGAGAACCCGAAAGAGCAATGGACCCAAGAAAGAGCAATTACATCAATGTGAATGCCAAGTAAGGTTGTAAAGAAAAGTGCTCCTGCTTAACTGGTGCAAAAACTAACTAGTTAACACCAAGACTACACAGAAAATCAGCTTTTATCTGTGTGGGTGTTTGGCTATGTAAATGTCATACAAAAATGTTTTGGGTTAATCATCGCCTGAAATCTGTTGATGCAAATTTGCAGTTAGCTCAATAAGATTCGTACAGACGTCAGGTAAAGCGCTATATGTAAAAGACTGATACGCAGATTGATTGGACTGTACTTTCAGCACTTTTGTTCCCTAATGAATCATTTCCCAAGGCTTCGACAGGTGCAGGGCAGTTTTAGTTAATGTGTACTCACCAGGAGCGTAGCCAACTCCCCACCACCAGGTCCAGGGCATTAAGGAGTGGTGGAAGATATGCAAGAAGGTGATCTGGCCATGTTTTTTCCTCAGCACAAAGAAGATCTGAAGGACAAAGGATTCTGATGAGGTGAAGCCCAGCTGTGCTGAGCAAAGAAGGTGCTGTGATCGAAGTGAGGTTCAGGGTAAATTGACTTACTGTGTCCATGAGCTCTATGATCTTTGAAAACCAGAACAGCCAGGCCACTTGGACCATCTAAGGCAGTAGAATATCAGAATTACACAAGGAGCCGTTTGTAAGGTTTAAGTCAGTACAAGTCAACTAGTTCAGCAGATTCTTACACGTAGAGCCTGTGGACTATCCGAGGTATCAACTGCATCGCAGCGCCAGGTATATGTCGTTGCCCAACCAGACATCAGGAACTATATTAAAAGTGTTATAAAGACACAGATCACATTTTAGCTGCGTTGTTTTAGTACATCAAACATAATCACAAATAAAATGTTGGGAGACACTAAAGGAGACCTACTTCGTAGACGATGTATATTGAAAGGGCCACTAAAAAGAAGTTGTAGACTATCATGGCTTCCTTCAGCTGGAAGGGCTTGCGATTGGCCATCAGGCGAGGGCCCAGGTACAGTACAAAGGACAAGTAGCACAGCAATATCAAAGACATGGGAATAGGACTCTGCATCAGGAAGTAGCCCTTGATTCTTGGATCTAATTGAGGAGAGAGTAAACATAGGGTAAGCCAATAAAATCAAAGACAATATAGGACTTTTTTTTTCAGTTCATCTATTACCAAGTCCAGCCACGAGGTAGTCGTAGATCGCCACAGCATGTGTGCCAATCTCCCTGATCTCTTGAAGCATGGTTACTCTGGTGTTTTGATCCAATTATCTGTAAAAAAGAAAAAAAAGTATCAATATTTTTCCAATATTTTAAAAAGTTCTTCTTTAGTTGATGAACCTAAAAAGGACTGCATTGTCATACTGAAATGGAGTACAGTGGTGTGTAACTTTTGCTACACACTTTTTCATGGAGGGCAGAAGTGTCATAATGTGTGACACAAAAACCCACAATTGTGACACAACTCACGTGTTTGTACAGTATTTCCCCATTTCTCTCCATTGGTCATTACCCACGAGTGTCCTGAAGGAGGAGCAGTTTGTGACAGTTCCAGATTCGGTGTGACTGAAATGCAATTGCTTGGACATACGCTCTCCTCAAACAAAACAGTTCAGCCTAAGAGTCCCAGAATGCTTTGCGCTGGCTCCCACCCCTCATCAGACATGGCCTGATATTTGAAGGGAGGTGCTACAGACAACTCTTGAGGACATCCCTCATCTCACAGTGCAGTGGAACTCAGAGAGCAAATAAGGGAAGCTAAACCTTGACACAAACATTAAGGATCCTGAGAACAACATGAACAAGGACACTGGCGGGTGAAAACCTAATCACGTCATCAAACAGTGACAGGCACAACTCCCATTAAAAGTGACATGAAATGCAGCCTCGAACACAGGAATGTTGCCATGGTTTTTTGGGACCTGCCTACATTTCTGTTGACAAAGGCTTATCATATCAGGTGTAAACTGTAGAGTGTAGACACAATGTGGAAGAGTAGCAGGGTGTGGTCTCCTTTCAGCCAGGTGGATGCAGAGGAAGTCATTGTTTGGGTACACTTTATAACACTCTGCTGAAACACTGACGTGGGAACCTCCTAATGAAAACATGATGGTTTTAGATTAGATTATAAAAGAATAATCATTAGAATGGTACTTGACGTTTATATAACACAAAATACGAATAAAAGTATACAGTTGATTCTGAGCTAGAGCATTCTTTTTTTTCCCACAAAAATAAATTGCACCAAACAAATCTGTCTCTCGGCAACAGCAAAGCAACTGTGCTGCTTTGCTGATGTTACCATCGGGGATACAATGGAAACTCTCCAAAACTGGCTGGTCCCCTTCCCTTTGTATTTATGTTATCACTGCACTACATCAACACCATTGTATCTTTGCGGTTCAACATTTTGGAGAGCTTCCAGGTCAATGTGCTACTCTCTAAACTACTGACCAGCTTCCTCCTGCTGACATGGTGAAACTGCACTGTCTCCTGCAGCCGTTACTTGTGGAAAAAAAAAAAAAACTTGTGTTGACAGTGAACAGACACATGACATTTCCAGAAAACTCTTACACAAAAAGCTGTGGTTGTGTTTGGATGATGGGTCAGAGGCTTCACATTTCAATCCCATCATGTCTGTAGTGCAGTCTTTGTCTTACTCTGAGGAAAAATGCTCGACAGTTAAATAGTAGACAGCATGCGCTATAGTCAGGTTATAGTGATGACTAGGTCATTTAAAACAGCGACCTTGAATAATGTAATGACAGCTCAGTCAAAGTACACAATTTAACATTAACTATACTGAGCTGGTGTTAAAGGCCACTCATATGGCTCTCTGTAAATTAGGAGAATTTTTAGTATACTTCAGTATGCTTGATTTTAAATAATCTACAATAGATCTTAAAATAAACATCTCTAAGATTGTCTATTAATGTAACCCATGTGGTCACTTTTGATGATTTTATTTTCACTTAGTCAGACAAGTCAGTCCCTTGATCATGAAACGCTCACAAGAAGAAAAAAAAGATAAAACAACACTTGTCTCAAAAGACCCTGATGAAGACAAATGTTCCAGGAAAACACCTGAAAATGCAGCCCCTTTCACCTTTCCCCTTTCACTCCACTAATGTTCTACTGCACCTCACATTACCTGACTGTTACCATAAAGCCACTGAATAGGTTAAACATAGTGACAACTGCTCCAAAAATACAGAGTACCTATTGGTATTTAAAGCAGCAGAGTAAACTCTGGTCCACTTGAGAACAGGGACTTCCTCATAACTGTGTCAATGAGAAATCCAATTAATTTGATTTGTATAACCCAGCTGTCTCCTGCATTCTTCAAATGACCTTTATGCAATTTGAAGTCTTTCACTTCCAGACTGTTTAATGTTGACTTCAATTTGTAGTCCTTAAAGCACTTCCTACCCACTTGTGTGTCCCACCTCAGCCATGACAACAGGCTGCACGGCAGTTGGTTTACATCTACCAAGGAGGCATAGTATGATGTGGAAAGGGAGGGGAAACATTTGCTAAGAGAGCATGTCCATGAATCATAGCCATGGAAAAAGCAAGCTCACACTGAAAGGGGTGGGAGTTAATGATAAACCAAGTGAAGCAGAGATGGGGAAAAGGGAACCACTACTGGAAATGTTAGAATGTGCTCAAATATCAACCATTACTGAGGAAAGCCAGAAGCAGGAAATGAAAAATAAAATAATAAAACAAAAAACACACCGTGAGCTGCTCAACATTTAATCAGGCAAAACAAACACAAGTTAGTTCACCTACGTAACACTGAACAACTTACCTTACAAAACTGAAAGGAGTAAAAGTTACTTCTTTTCTTTCGCAGCAAAGCAAATCCTCTTCTTAAAATAAATAAATCTCTTCTAAATACTGGTGGCAGGTCAGGCGGCAGCAGCAGCGAACAGAAAAACAGCAGAGCCAGGGAAGAAGGGAAGGGAATGAAAAAGTAATCTGACAAAGTGTGACTGGTACAGGAGTCTTCCAAATCTCCACCCTCCCTGACTCACACAGTGGATGAATAACCAGCTCAGTGAAGGAGAGGGAGGGAAGGAGGCAGAGCCTGAGAGAGAAGGAGAGCTGTGTGTGAGCGGCTGTCTGAGGAAGAGTGCAACTGAGTAGGAGAGAGGCATGGCCCTCCATTTAAACCCACGCTGAAAACCACGCCCAACTTAAAATGAATACCGTGCACCCTAGAAATAGTGTGATCAATACCCTGACCTTAACATGTGCAGGTTCCACTACTTCTAATCTCGAAGATCACACCCTTTCGTACTCTCAAAGGGGTACACGACTCTGAAGTCGCCCTGTCAGTTTTCTCGCGGGGTGGGCTGATAATATTCACAGGCAGCGGTCGAGACATCAGTGCGGGCTCTGTTGTCATGAAGAGGAGCATTGTTGTGGTTTTCTTAAGCGCTCAAAACAGCCAACACCCAGCGAGCTAAACAACCCTCTTGGCCCTTAAACCAGGAGCAAAGGACAGGCATACCACCCAAAGAACACACTCCCCACAGTGTAAGACAGAGCTGGGAATCCTGTAATTGAAGAAAATCTCAACAGATGTAAAGAAACTTAAAGAAACTTTTACTCCATCTGTCATGTACCTGAAGTGGCATACCAGAGTGCCACACTAGAGTAAAGGTCAGCGCTCTGTGACGACAAGTGTATATCATCCATGACTCATGCCATAACACGTAAAACTCCTTCAAGTGTGTTGTAAGAAGGTTTCGCTCGCCGCAAAATAAATTGCGGCTCTCGCTGTCACGCCCAGCCGATCTAAGGGACACCACTCATCTCATCAGGCCAAGTAGGAGTGACTATGACTTAATGCTCATAAATCCCAACAGCTACAGACACACAAAGGGGGAGAAGGTGAGTTTTTTGTCTTTATTTTCTCCATATTGGTTACAAGTTTGTTTCTTGTTGTCCTTTGGAGACATTAAAGTCCAACTTTGACTGAAACACCAAACCTAGTAGTCTGTATAACCAACAACTATTCAGAGGGGTTAAAACAAACAAACAAACAAAAAAAACACTCATTGTAAATAGCCTCTTCAGTTTTGCACTGGATTTGAATAACAGCTTGTTTTACCTGTCACTCAGGCCTAAGGGAGGTGGAAGGTTTAGGGGAGGACAGGTGGGGTGGGGGAGAAAGGGGTGTTGGTAGTGGTGGCAGCAATGCACTGCACATATTAGCCTCCAAAATACTTACCGAAACACACCTGAAAAACAAAATAGATCATGGCTTTGTGTAACAGTTGCTGACAGCTACATTTCAGATATGATAGACATCTCTTACCCAGAAACCAACACCCCAACTACAATGTGTAGGTAAAGAGAAATACCAAATATGGTCATTGCAATTTACAGAATGAATTTATTCATACACCAGAACTAAATAAAAAAAATAGCCAAAATGTTTGACTTACTAAACTAATATAAGTCAGTTTATTTAATAAATACACACACAGTTGGTTTGATTAGTAGTGAACTGGGAAAGACATCTGCAGCAGATTGACTGCAGCAATAAGCACGTAGCTGTGAATTTCTACCAACATGTGGCACATTGGTGTGAAGAGTCAGCATTTTACTGCCAAGGTATGGATAGTGTAGAAAAGTAGTAGGTCAAGCTCTGCAGTATGAAATATAACAACAGTAAAAAGCAATACGCTCTGTCTGATACTCTGTCGTCATTGGCCATTTGTATTAAAGCTACAGGCCGGCTGTTCTGTACACACAACTACAGTAAATGAAGTCATGTCCAATCTTAATCAATTAAATGACTCAGGACAGTTTGCCTACAGCTAGAGACGGATCAAGGGAGTTGATGTGTAATACACCAGTTCACACTCGTCCTCATTTAAACTGCAGGCATTAACTGTCAGATTACCACTCTCATTCAAAACATTCCTGCATTCTGAACAGGTATGCCATTATGACATATTGCTGAAACTGAAAATACCAGAGATGGTCTAGTTTGATGTCATTCCTTTTGCATTGTCGTGCAACAGAGGGTTTCAAGTTTAAATATCCACTCTGCCTTCATCGGTTGTAAAGCATGTTGACAGAAAAATGTTTGTTCTTATTCTTTCCCCCTATTTTCTATGTTCTAATCGATTATTTAGTCAGAAAATTAGTATAAAAACTAAAAAAATGTAATGTATCAAAGTATAGCCTTAAGCATAGCATTAAGTATGCAAATGTCCACTGGGAATGATAAACAAAATGAAAATAAAACTATCGAAAAAATATTTAAAAAAAAAAATTAAAATAATGATGTCCATAAAGTTTATTTGGACTTTAACTGGACTTTTCTTTGAGTTTGAAAGACGTTTCGTTCCACAACTGAGTTTCTGGTTGATAAAGTTCCTCAGTTGAAATTCAAAACCTGGATGAATGAGAATCTTCACAGCCAATAGGATTGATGATGTCAGGGAACGTTCCCTTTAAAAGGCTTTAATGAAAAAAGTTGTTGACACATTTACATGTGTAATTACAGTGTATTTATAAGGTTCACAAAATGTTATTTTATCAGTTTCTTTCCCCTAAGAGAGCAATCTGAACATATTGGGATCTGTAAACAGAGGAAATGTCTTTGTCAATCCTGTTTTTCAGCTTTTATTTAAGATTTATAAGATAGACAAGGTGGTCATAGCCACCTTGAACAAGCCATTGTTAGTAAAGTGCTAATTTACTTTTTTGAGTTGCATAAATACAAATGTGTTTAATCCTTCATATTTCTTAATATCTACAGGTTTTGGTAAATTGGCAGATTATGTAGGAATGACAGTGTGCTTCTTATTTGGATATTTCTACAGATAGGCAATAGTATCAGAAATGATAATTATTTTACTAATTGATATCAATAAATAAGATTCTAAATAAAGAGGCTATTCAATAGGTAAGTTACTGAAAATACTATGTGATTATTGCTTTATTTTAGCATATCTCTGCTAAAATACCATCTGCTTACATGTACAAAACACAGACACGCTTCAGTGTACATTACACGGCAGTCAGGAAGCATCAACAGGCAGACTGTGTCATGTATCCTGTTTGCTGCTACTTCACAGGTTGCTGACACTGTATAATGGAGTATCATAGTGTATAGTGCAGAGTGTTTTAGTGGCTGTCAAAGCATATTACATAAAACTGCAGTCAGACTTGAGCCCTGGGTGGAAGATGTGTAGCATGATAGAAATGACAGCAGTTAATGATATACAGGTGGAGTAGCGTATTTCCCTCCCCCTCCAACCTCCAGCGAGAGCAAAAATGCTGCTAAACTGGATTGTTCATTGACAAGTTTACACCACCTTCCCATTACTGTGTGTGTCTGTTGAGTGAGCGGGACAGGTGGTGACGGTGGGGGCAGCCGTAGCCTCCACCTTCTACTATTCAGACACTGTTTAACACTGGTCCTATTCTCTTCAGACCCCTCCCTCTCTCCTCTTCTGCAGGTTTCACCTAGCAGCCACTTGAGCTTTTAAAACTTTCCACAAACAGATTCCCCCGACATCACCTTGTTTGTGAGAGATGGATGCAATAAACACCAGTAAAGAACTGTGTTGCAGAAACAGAACAAAGATTAAAAAAAGAAAACCTCAACAACAGTATTAGCAAATACTTGAGATCACAATAATTACAAGTCAGGGATCTGAGAACCCTAGGCAACCCGGCACTAAAAACAACTGTGTCCCTGCTCACCAGTGTGTCCTCTTGACTTAAAATTGTTCGTAAAAAATCTTTGGCTTACTTTGGCAAAAAAGCCTAGAGTTCAGTTTCAGGCCAAAGGAAGTCTCAACCTCAGCCATGTACAAGGAGGGAGTGATTTTCTGCTAATTTGAGAGAACATGTCAACTGGACGTAAAGATCACTGAGACGAGAACAAAGGGTAAATGTAATTTTTTATAAAAATGAGCAAGGACTCTTTAATTTTTTTTAAAGAGTATAATGTTCTACTTTTATATATTGTCTCCATACAAAGGTGAAGCCACTATGTAAAACACAAGCACTCACAGCTGGGCACAGGACCCATCTCAGAATGATACAACAAACATCTAAATTAATCTCAACAACCACAAACATCTTGACATAACATTATCTGGTTGCACATTAAGTTCCCTTTAACCCTCTAACACAGTGGTTCTCAAACTGTGGTACACGTACCACCAGACAAGCTGACTGACAACTGTCAAATGGATTGCAGGGACTGTGGACTGGTTATTATTAAAGCAACTGCCAACACATTCTGCAAGTCACTATCAATATGTGCAGTAATGACTAAAAGACTCTTATTTAGCTAAAGATCGACATTTTTGCCATATTAATAATTCCAACATTTGGATTAGTCAAACAGAAACAGGTCAGAAAGACTTTTATACAGCATCTACCTGCTGTTTGTCATATTCAGCAGTGTTGATTTATCTCGGCTAATCACGATTAATTATGATCGCGATTAATCGTGACTGTCCTTAGTTTAAAGACACTAGTGTTCACTGCTATTTGACAGGTCTGGTGTTGAAGAATTTCTTAAAGAACCTTATCAGCAGTGATGAACTTTAGAGACAAAACTGTTCATGACGTACGCAGCTGTACAATTTGCCAGAGGAATCACTGATTCGTATCTGGAACCGTGTTCTAACAGTTGTACTTCATCACAATCTACAACATCTCAGCATTTTTACAGTACACGTCAGTGGATCGACTGTCCAGTGGCGGCTGCATGATTAGAATCCTAGAAACACAGGAATAATTGTGAAACTTTGGACAAGGGGAGTGACTAAAATATTTAACTTCTATCCAGGTAGGTCCCCTACACTGGAGTGATGAACTGGAGCACAATGTGGTTGGTGGTCTTCACTTCAATATCTGCTCAACACATGTATCTGAAGTCTGAACAGGTTTGTGGATTTAGGCTGCCGCTTTTAATAACTGTACTGTTGACATTTGAGGCCGTGTCACTGAGGCTACCGACACAGGAAGCCACTGAAGTGATAACAATATGCAGCCTTGAGGCGTTTAATAGTCATCGAGCAGGTTCAGTGTTTACTTTATCACAGGTACAGCTGGGCTGGTGGACCTTCAGCACACTGTCCCAAACCTGTTGTTGGAGCTTCAGCTAATATTTACACATAAACACACACACACACACACACAGTGATTAAACAGTAAACAGGAGATAATTTGACACATATTAAAAGCATTATGTCCATCCTACTAAGAAATGTTTGACATAATATACTGAGATAAGTGAGTCATCTGAATTGGTGCAGTTTAGCTTCTTTTTTTTATTATTTCATTTTTTTACAAAAAAGGGCATTATTTTGTCTCCACATACACCTGCCAGTTTAACCAGAAACCCAGCACAGCTGCTCACTCAAGGCCGCTACAGGGCCAAGGGGAACGATTATTATTATGTAAACACTTCAGGCACTAGATGTCGGCTTCCATCTGGAACAATGGGCTGGGGGAGTGACAGTAAAGACTTAGTCCTTTCACTCTTAGTTGGCTCTACAACCATCACCTGTAATAACCCAAGTTCTACAATGTCATCTTTGAAATGTCTTATAACTATTTAAATGTACTGATGGATTAAACAACAGCTGTGTGTCACTATGTTCCCGCTGAAATACTTAGAAAAAAGTCATTAAAATTTAATTTAAAGTGCTTTAAAGTGTCACTGTCAGCATTAACTTAATCAGAACATGCCCTATACTTTACCCATATGCATTAATGCTGCAACATGACACTAATAAATGGTTAACAATATTTAGTACCCAATTAGCTATACTGGGACATAGCTAATAGAATGTGTTCTCCCCCAAATCATATCTGTTTACGGCCGTCTGACATCCTGTCTGGGGGATTATATGACAGATAAACGAAAGCTTTCATTTTTCTTTTCTTATTAGA